GGGTTACACCCATGTTCAAACACCAAGAATGTTAAGGGTGTGAGCTTTTAATGTCAAATGATTGAGAGTTATTTTTAAATAGATATTGTCTTGTACTTACCTCATATTAATGATTAGGCAAAAGGGTAACTTTTATCTCTGTAGTAGATCCAATTTATCACCTTCGCCCCTATCGTATTTTCGCATCAATTTAACCCTCGAAGTTTCTCAATTGCATCATTTTATATCATACTCCTAACTTAAAACCTTAAATTATAAACCCTAAACCCTAAAATGTATCTTTATAACTCTAAATTATAAACCCTAAAGCATAAACTCTAACTTAAGTTTATAATTTAGGGTTTAAAGATAATGACATGATATAAAATGATGCAATTAAACAATTTTGATGGTTAAATTAATGTGAAAATATGATAGAGAAAAAATGATAAACTATATCAATTACATGGATAAAGGTGACCATTAAACCTAATTAAAAAAATATTCAAATAGTTTTCTTAAATAAGGACTAGAGATGGCAATTCTTCATCTACCTCAGACGAGATAAAATGTCTAAAGACACCACAACAATTATTTCTTTGGTTGAACACTAATAAAAGTAAATAAATAATTTTTTAATTATTGTTTATAAGAATAAAATCCAAAAATAATTCTAAAATAATACGAAAAAAGAAAACAATAATGTAGGCGGCTCTCTACCAACAAGGCAACAACCATGGACAAAAAATGTCTTATTAAAAATATTAGTTAACCCTATTCCCATATGTAATGGGGTGAAGGGAGGTAAGGTAGTAGGGTGCCCCAATGCCAGGTTGAGAGTAACTTTCGTAGAAGACCTCCGGCAGTTAGAATTATGAATTGTCCACCATGAGACTCGATCCCACAACCACAAGGTTAAGAGCCTTGCGCTCTACCAACTGAGTTGGACGGACAATTCTAAAAAAAATGTCTTATTACCTCAAGCTTAACTATTTTCTTTGTTTTCAATATTAAGAATCCTTGTAATAAAACAAACCCACAACCATGAAATCAAAATAAAACCCCAAATATAAATATTTGAAAAATAAAATAAAATAAAATAATTTCAATGAACGTGCATTACATGATTGGATTTTAAGGGAGAAAAGGTTCATTCTCTTAAGCCTACATTCATTTTTCCCTAATAAAAAATATAACTAATAAAATGCTTAGCAATACGCGTGTCGAGATGAGAGATATGGATTTGAGATTTATTTAATGAAAAATATATTTGATTTGGATAAGAATGTGCACCGCAACGGCGGCAGAAGCGGTGGATTGTTCCACAAACCACCGTTTTCTACTTATAACCATCAATCAAGATGTCGGCCGCATGCTGCGGCATAAACCCATGTTTAAGCTTTACTTTTGCTAATGATGTGATTAAAGGTGTTAATGAATCCAATTCGATATGATTTTAATATTGCTGATGAAAATATGGTAAATGACAATTTTTTACAGTGTAGAATAATTGTGAAAGAGAGAGTTCTAATCTTTTCTTCAATTTTATATGGTGACTTGTATACTGTTTTTAATATTAATGCTAAATTTAATATCATAATTATTATATGTGAGTTTACATGATAAATGAATAGGAAAATTTTATAACGTTCAACGAGCGTCAATCAATACTATTAATGGTGAATACTATGAATCTAATTTATAAAAATTTTAAATGATTTAATATATAATTTTAAATTAGTTAAGAATTTAAAAGAAATTATTTAAAAAATGGTAAATTATAGCAATGACCACTTTAGTTATTGCCCCTTTTTATTTTGATCATCATTTTTGAAATTTTATCAATCAAGTCACTCAATTATTTAAATGCATTCAATTAAGTCACTTGCCGTTAATATCTAACGAAGAAGCTGATGTGACAGTTAAAATATTTGACATAATAATGTTACTAATATATTGTATCAATTTGGTCCTAATTTTAATAAATTAAGATAAACTTAACCCTCAAATCAAACAATGTCATATGTCACTGATGCCAAGTGTAATGACATTGACGATTAAATTTATTTTCAATTTAATATATTTTTCTCACCAATCAGGGTCACCCTCTAGAGAAAAGAAAATTTTGGATGCTTAAATGATGCCCAAGGAAATAAAACATGGTTCTTGGGTTGACAAAGTAAGACTCAACCATTGAGCTAAAGTAGTTATTTGTTTCAAACTTGACTACATATATTATATATGTTTTATATTAGTGTAAAATTAAATTCTTAATATTTATATATCTTAACTTAAATTTATATATTAAATTAACTTTACATCTTAACATTAACAAATATTTTTCTTAATTTATTAAATATATTTTATTCTTTTCGCAACCTAAAAATATATTTTATTCTTATTTTAATTTAAAATATATATTTTAATTTTATCTTAAATTAAAAAAATATAATTTATTCTTTTATTAACTTAAATATTTATATTTTATTCTGATAATATTTTAAATTTAAGATAAAAATATAATATTTTTTATAGTTAAGATAATAATAAAATATATTTTTGTAGTTAAAATAAATATATATATTTAAGTTGAGATAAGAATAAAAAATATGTTTTAAGTTAAAATAAGAATTAATTATATTTAATGCTTTAAGGTAAGAACAAAATATATTTAATGATTTAAGCTAAGAATATAATTTATGTAATAAGTTAGGATAATAATAAAATATATTTTTAAGTTAAGATAAAGACTAAAATATATTTTTAAGTTAAAATAAGAATAAAATATATTTTTATGCTAAGACAATAATAAAATATGTTTAATAAGTTAATATAAAAAATAAAATATATTTTTAATGTTAAGATGTAAAATTAATTTAATATGTGAATTTAAGTTAAGATATATAAAATATTAAGAATTTAAATTTACACTAATATACAACATAAATAACGAATGTAGTCAAAATTGAACCAAATTAACTACTTTGGCTCAATGGTTGAGCCTTGCATCTTTAATCTAAGAATCCCATGTTATATTCCCTTGGTATATAAATTTATTTTAATTTGTTAAAATTAAGATTAAATTTATAGAATATATAAGTAATATTGATCAAATGTGTAATTATACCAAATATTTTAACTGCCACATCAATTTCTCCGTTAAATATTAACGGCAAGTGACTTAATTGATCAAAATGAAAAGGGACAATAGTTAAGTGGTTACTGGTATAGTTTACTTTTATTTTAAATAATTTACCTTTAAATTTTTAACTAATTTTATAATGATATGTTAATTCTAAATTTTTATAAATTAAATTAATGCTGCTCATAGTTAACCGTGCTCATCAGTATTTGTCAAACGTGACATATACATCCAAAATAAATAAAACTATCCAATAATAAATTAAATTTTTATAAATCATATAAATTTATCAATAATTTTATTAAGAGATTATGAATGTTCGAAAGATATAGAACTCCAAAAAGAAAGAAAGAAAATCTTAACACCCTTATAAGCAAAGGAGTGACGATAGAAATGGTGTTATCTTTTAAAAAGATACGAGCTACAATAAATAGTAAATAATACGAGCGTGACATGGTTATCAAAATTGGATTGGATCGGTCGGTTCAACCGGTTGAACCGTGAATCGGTGGTATATCCGATCTGGTTACCTTACAAAACCGGATTGGCAATAAATCGGCTGAAAATCGATAGAATCGGCTGAAAACCGGTTTGAACCACCGATTCACTTTTTTATCTTTTAAAAAAAAATAATCAAACGACGTCGTTTGTTCAACGAGCCGAGTCAAATTCGAGTATTGCTGAGCTCGACTCAAAAACTTACAAGCTAAAAATTATCAAATTCAACTCGAACTCAAAATATAATATTAAAACTTGAACTCAAAAAGGCTCGAACTCAAAAAAAAAAAAATTAGAAGTTAAATTGAAGCATAAAATTTGAGCTCAATTGAAGCGAAAGAATAGTTCACTCTGTGCTCACCAAAAGGCTCCATGATTTTGAATGTCAAATTACCTCTATTATTTATATAAGTAAGTTGGGATGCTCTACTATGTTTCTTAGCCATGTGAGATTGTTTTTTCTCATATTTTTACTTTTTAAACTTTTGGGATGCTCTTCTATGTTTCTTAGCCATGTGAGATTGTTTTTTTAAAATTAAACCAAATAACATCATTTGTTATGATTTTTTAAGCTCTAATTTTATTTTTTTATTATAGTTATATAATTATATTTATTATTTAATATATTTTACCTTAAATATTATGTTGTAGTTGATTTGAATCATTTTGTTTCACTTGATTTTATGGTTGTTAATTTATATATGTTATGACTTGTGATATTTTTATACCTTTTAATATTGTAAACTTAAAAAAAGTGTTACATATATATTAATATTACTTTGAATATTATGTAAAATTAAAAAAAATTATTTTATATAAAATCCGGTTCAACCGTGATTGAACCAGTGAACCAATACTTTCACCAGTTCAATGTCCTGTCCGGTTTTAAAAATATTAGAAAATAGTCGATAAACCATTGACTTCTTTGTTTTTGTTCACATAAACTTATAAATTAATTAATGGATCAAGACCCTATTTCTTTTATGCAATCCAGTGTGAATGTTAGCTACATTTCTCTACCTGTTTCTCTAAGTCAAAAAGGTTTTCATTTGTTTCTTATAATACAACGGGTCTTAAGTAAACATTGAAAAATACAAAGATTAGTTTAGACAAAATAATTAAAATAGTTATATTACAGATATTAAATTATTATTTCTTAATAATTTAGGATAAATATGTTTAAAATATTAATATTTTGATAATATATACCTATTCTAAATATTAGAAATAAAATCTATCAGGAGAATAATATTTATTTTCACTGTTAAGATCAATAAATAAGTTGTCCACTAAATTATTATTGATTAACCAGGATTTGACAAAATAATATATATTTGGTTGAAACAGAGGAGGGAGAGAAGCGTGCGAACACGACGGAGATAAAGGCGGACCACGTTACAAAGGGGCCAATTGGTCGGTTGTTGATGTTCATTGTTCACCAGCTCTCTCTCTCTCGCTATTATTCCCAATTCTCTCTTCTTTACAGTTACACAACACTTTCTTCTTCCACTTCTCCTCTCTTTCAGTGTCCAAAACAAAACTCGTTTCATCTAATGAGGAAACACTGTCCAAATCACGACTTCCCAGGTGGATTGGACACGGTCCTCGAAGTACCAATCCCTGAGGAAATGTTTGTCTCGAACAAGACCAGTCACCACCCTTCCTGGCAGAACGTGAAATCATGGATGAACATTAAACAGAGTCCCGACCAAAGACAGTCGATGGTGGCTGTTTTCGGTGGGAGAAACACCGAGATTCAGCTCTTGCTCGGTGTCGCCGGTGCTCCATTGATCCCTCTCCCTATAAATAATAACGACAATCATTCCATCACCAAAAACATCAAAGACCTCCCCATTGTAAGAGATTCACATTTGATCTTTAGTTTCATCGAATCATCATCTTTCTTAGTTTATGATCTTGAGTTTCTTTTGTTTTTATTACAGGAGGTTTCAATGGCGAAATACATACTGAAGCAATACATTGCGGCGGTGGGCGGCGAGAAGGCATTGGGTGCCATTGACAGTATGTATGCGATGGGGAAAGTGAGAATGGCGGCTTCTGAGTTTAGTTCCGGAGACGGCAGTGTGAATAACAAGATTGTTAAAGCGAGGAACTTGAGTCACAGCGGCGGAGAGGTGGGTGGTTTCGTTTTGTGGCAGAAAAAGCCGGAGCTTTGGTGCCTGGAATTGGTGGTTTCCGGCTGCAAAATCAGTGCCGGGAGTGATGGGAAAGTGGCTTGGAGGCAGACACCATGGCACCCTTCTCATGCTTCTAGAAGTCCCCCTAGGCCTCTCAGGCGTTTCTTACAGGGTCTTGATCCAAGATCGACGTCGAATTTGTTCGTGAATTCGATTTGTGTCGGAGAAAAATCGATCGACGATGAAGACTGTTTCATCCTAAAACTTGAGGCCAAACCATCAACGCTAAGAGCAAGAAGCAGTAACAATATAGAGATCATCCGTCACACGGTTTGGGGTTCCTTCAGCCAGAGAACCGGCCTCTTAATCCAACTCAAAGACTCCCATCTACTACGTATCAGATCCCCAGGATCCGATGGCGTCTTTTGGGAGACAACAATGGAGTCCTCGATCCAAGATTATAGAGCCATAGATGGCGTCAACATCGCACACGCCGGCAAGACTCATGTCACATTGTTTCGGTTCGGGGAGACCTCTGAGCGCCAATCGAGGACGAGGATGGAAGAGGTCTGGATGATGGAAGAAGTTGATTTTAACATCAAAGGGTTGTCAATGGATTGCTTTTTGCCTCCCGGTGATCTGAAGAAAGAAGAGGAAGGGTTCGAGACCCTGCCTAGCAATGTAAGGTTGCCATTCAAGCTTAGAAATGATCAACCTACTAGGTTTAATGGCTCCAAAGTTGTTGCCATTGATGTTGATGAATGTGATGATGAATCCTCCTCGGATGATGATGATTTGTTTTGAATTTGATTCCATGTAATATTAGTTTGTAAGTATTAATTCTATAGAAATTTTGATGCTTAAAAATAATTTTTAGTAATTTTAGGGTTGTTTCGGTCACGAGCATTTCAAATTTGGATTATTTTGAACTCGAATCAGAACAGGATGGAACATAAGATATTTATCCAAATTCTATATTAGAATCCGTGATTACATTAATACATTATTCATTCACGGACACATAATTAAATTGTATAATTAGTCACTGTACTTGGTCTAACTTGCAAAATTAATCCTTGTACTTTAATATTTATAAATCCAGTCCCAATACTTCTTGCTTTATCACATTCAAGAACAAATCAAAGGAAAACAATAGCAAAAGGATTCTAGTAAAGATATACTACAATATGCAAATATAAATTACGGAGAGTTTCAAACCCTATGATACTAATATAAACACCATGCTTACGGATTACGAGGAATCGAAGATGGAGCACGATTCATAAATCGAGAGGCTCACCGGGGTCACCGTCTTGATCATCATATAGGAAGTAAGTTCCATGAGGTGGATATTGGTTTTCTCAAGACGGTACGTTGAAGTGGAAGAGCCAAGAGATCACAAAGGCGAAAACCATACATGCTAGCAGGAAATTTAGAAACCGATGGCCTTGCCAGAAGTTTTGGGTGCCTGCAGCATGAATGGTAGAAGGAACCATTGCTGCCTCCACCACTGTGGAATCATTTGCTTCGTTCCATGGCTCGGTTGTGTCGGTATGGGTTGCAGCAGTAACAACATTCCGTGCGGTTGATCCACAAATCTCACAAGTCCTGAGATACAGATTGAAGCATATAAGATACAGATTGCTCATGAACATGTATACCATTGAATAACTTTCGGAGAGGAGGCCTTTACCCTATGTTACCCGAGAATACTCGATTTCTTGTCACACTTTAGGATGTATAACACGAATACTAAAAGAAAAATGAAAAGTCGATACGATATAGCTTATAAATAAAGTCATACGTTAAAGGTGCCAAGGCAATCAACATACTCAAGAGTAGTGAGATATTTTGAGAGCATCATTAAGCATTAAAACAATAAAAAAAAACAATCACTATGTCAGCCGGACAAATATTTCGTGAAAGAGCAAATCCCATTGTGACAGCTAGCAAAATCATCAAATTCTTCATTGTCATAAGTGAAGCATTGCCATATAATCCAAGCTAAAATCTTTCTTAATCTGAATATTACACCTTTGAAGATAAACCCACTTTCTTTGGTTCCTCTATCTTGACAAGACAACATATTAAAACACTTGCGTTTCGGACAAAAAAGATCGAAATTTGATGCCGGGTGATTATATTAATCGATTGAATTAGCAAATGGCATTCTTAATGTTGATTCACAATTCATCTACAATGTTAGTATGGGGTATGATTCTCCAAATATGACCCGAATCCGATACCCGAACCCGAATTCGAGTAAGAAAAGAATGATTCTTAGAGATGAAACTACATATAAAGCATCATAGTGGTTCCATCTTTTGTATCATAATATTTAACATTTGATTCCACTAAACTTAGTATGTTTCACTTTAATCTAACAAAGCAAGAGATAATCATTCTTTGTTTTACAGCATTAACAATGAAAATATCTCACCAAATTTTCTTACAGAACAAACCAGAAAAGACACAAAAGTCGAATCCACTAAGTTTTCAAGAAACATTTTATTCCCTAAATCAATATAGTTCAAGCAAAACACAGAGGATAATGTTTGATGAAACCTATAAAAGAAAAACAGACAAAAATGTTGAATTGCACAAGGGATTTGGGTTTGCTTTACCTGTTTCCTTTGATCTTGAACCAAGCTTCAGCACAGTGTTTATGAGCAGCAGCCAAATCATCCTTGCAAGAACAACCTAACTCAATAGGAATACCGGATTCATGGTTGTTCGGGTCCAATGTAAGATGGCAAATCCTGCAATCTGTCTCAGTTTCTTTAGCCAAAAATGGCTTGGGTTCGACCACCCCAGACTCAAGATCCACTTCAAGGGAAGAAGAAGAATAACATGTTCCCGACATTGAACAAGTCTCCCTCTCTTTAATGATCTCAGTTGTAGACAAGGAACATCGGCTGTCTTCTTGTTCCTCATTATCTGTTTGGTTTCTTTGTTCTTCTCCTCCTCCTTCATTAACAACATCAATGGCGAATCCTTGGGGTTGTTTTGATAAAGCTTCCATTTTTATCAAGACCCAGATTTTGAATCTTCATGTAAATGTTGTGAAACACAAAAAAATCATCAAATTTCCGACAAGAAGCTCGAAGATCCCTCTTGAATTTAAGTTTAACTACACATTGATTCTCTCAGATATGGATTCTATGAAGCATCAGATGAAAGTTAAATGATTTTTTGCTGGTAAATACTGCTTTAAAGACTGGTAAGTGTTGCTATCTCTCTTCTCTCTCTGTTTGTCAGTTCGGAACAAGAGATGTGAAGAGAGAGAAACGGACTACAAAGAATAGATCTCATGGATACATGGATTTGTAATAAAAGTAAATGGTCAAATTTTATAAAAAATCCTTGTTTGCATATTATTTGTGGATTTAATTTTTATTTTTTATTTCTTGATATGTGTATTTATAATGTCCAGGTCAATTTTTTTGGGGAGGTTAATTTCAAGAAATTGGTTTTTTTTAGAACATAACATAGTAAGATGTACTTTAACATTTTAAAAAAGTTGGATAAATTAGAAGTTTCCTCTCATATCTTTAAGAAAAAACAAAAATTAATTAATATTTTTAATTTAGTAGGTACAATCATTATATAATATATAAAAAGATAAAAATTTAATTATACTTAAATAGAATGATTGTTGTTATCTCTTGAGGTCTCAATTTTAAATTTAAAGTTCGAGTTTTAGGTTCAAAAATTGTGTATATCAAGGACAAAAGTATTTATTATTAAATGATTAAAAATCTTTGAAATATAATACTTTCTATTCACTCTAAAATTATTAAAAAATATAAACTTAAACATAATATTATTCAATTTATAGATAAAAACAAATATATGTAATGTAGACACTATATAAAAATTATATAATTTACATTTTATTTAATTAATTAAAATTCATTCATTATATTTTATGAAAATTAAAAATTAATCTATTTAAATTCAAATATCATTATGCTTTTTATTTGATAATCTTAATTATCAAGTAATTTTTAACCACTAAATTTAAATAAAATTTAATTTAATTATCAATTAGAATCTGGGTCAATAGGTGATAATATATTTCTTGATATAAATCTCATCCGGACATTAATATGAAATTATTCAATAATTTCAATTCTTATATAAGTCAAATATTCGTTAAAATAACACCTTGAGTCTTCAATATTTTTAACTCTTATGTAATATTTTATTGAAGTAACCACTAAATCGATTGAGAATTATTTTCTACAATTAAAAAAGTGTTGTAATAAAACTTCTCTTATATATCTCCAATATCATTAAAAAATTAATAATAATAAAATCATTCAAAACTGAATAACTTAAGTCATAATTCTGATACTAATTGTTAAAATTTAAAAGCAAAAAGAAAACATACAATATTAATATATAACATGACACACACAATAAACAAGATTTGTTGTGCCTTAACCTTGTCTTCATTCCCAGATAAAAGATATAATATTTCACTATAGCGTAGAGATAAAAAAAATACGTAAGAGTATATTATTATTATTGACTTTTCTTCCTGGCTGTTTCTGACGGCTTCTATGGAAGTTCTCTTGCCTCTGAGTGCAAGTTCCCCCTAGTTTTCTAGGTTTGTTTTGTTTTGGTGTTGCTGGTTTGGTTTGCTTATGGCTGATGATCTAATGGATGAATGGCAGAATCTATCTCTGATAGAGGCGGAGGATGCAATTCTGGATGTTCCAACGTGTTCTGTTCCTGAGCTGGAGTCTACACAATGGATGGTTGTCTGTCTCCTTTCGCCTCGCCCAGTGAATCAGGATGCCATGATCACTACTCTCTCCAATGTTTGGAAATTGACAAAGTCCACTCATATTGTTCCTCTGGATGATAATCATTGTGTTATCAAATTTCGCTCTGCTCGTGAACGGGAGAGTGTTGTGGATGGGGCCCCCTGGTCATTCGATAAACATCTGGTTCTATTTGCCTCATTTGATTCCAATCTGTTTCCTGGAGATTACAGGTTTGAAGTGGTTTCATTGTGGGTAAGAGTCTATGGTGTTCCTTTGAACTGTTGCAATCGTGCCTTTGCGGAATCAATTGGGGAAAGGTTAGAGACGCTTATGGCTGTGGATGATGCTTTTCTTGGTATTGGCTGGGGGCAGTATCTGCGGATAAGAATTGATCTGGTGGTTTTTCGGCCTCTTCTCGGTTTCTAACTTCTCGAACACCCGATGGTAGGGTTCTCCAAGGGAAGATCCGCTATGAACGACTTCCCGACTTTTGTTATACTTATGGAATTATGAACTAATGTACGATTCACCATCGTCTTCGGCAGGGCTTTCGAATCGTACAACATGGGGTGACTGGTTGCGGGCATCGCCAATGAAAAGGACTTTGGCGAAATCTTGTCATACATGGAAAAGGTCTCAAGTTGTTCTGTCTCCCTCACCTATACCATCTATGCCGCATCAACCTGGGAAGCATACTGAGGGAAAGGTTTCATCATCTTCGGTCATGGGCGAAGCCTCGCTCACCACTTTTTTAAAACGCAAGGCAATTGTCCCAACGACTAATAATTCAGGCGTTCATAAGTTTAAGTCGCAGAGACGCTTGGCTATTCGTCTTCATCTTCTAATTCGGCGGTGACTAGTGATCAGTCCCGCCTGACATTATGAGGCTCCTGGTTTGGAACTTCCGTGGGCTTGGGAACCCACGGTCAATTAGGTGCCTTGTGCGCATAGTGAAATCTAAAGATCCCCAGGTAATTTTCCTGATTGAGACGAAGCTTCATGAATCATGAGCTCGAGAGTTGCGATATATGTTTCGTATGCAACATTGTTTTGGTGTAAGTTGGGTGGGTTCTCGGGG